AAGTAATCGCAAAACTAGCAGTCGGGACTTAAGTGCTTGTGGTAAATAATAGAGTGGGTACAAAGTTGTGGGTATATGGCTGTAAGCATATAGATGTAGGCATATGGCTGTAGGCATATAGCTGTAGGCATGGCTAAAAGCATATAATTGTGGGCATATGGCTGTAGGCCTCTAGATGTAGGCATATGGCTGTAGGCAAATAGCTGTAGGCAAGGCTGAAAGCATATAACTGTAGGCATATGGCTGGGGGAATACAGCTATAGGCATATGGCTTAAGGCACATAGTAGAAATATGGCTATAAGTATTGGGCTGTAGGTAAATAGCTTTAAGCAGCTGTAGGCATATGACTGTAGGCATATAGCTGTAGGCTTCTAGCTGTAGGCATATGTCTGTAGGCGTATAATAGCTATATGGCTGTAGATGTGAGACTGTCGACTATAGCTATAGACTTACGGCTATGGGCATAAAGCTTTAGGCATACATCTCTCGGTATATAACTGTAGGCACAGGCCTGTTGGCACATAACTGTAGGCATATAGCCGTAGATATATAGCTGCAGACATATAGCTGTAGCCATATAGCTGTAGACATATGGTTGTAGACATATAGCTGCAGACATATGGCTGTAGACATATGGCTGTAGGCATATGGCTGTAGACATATGGCTGTAGGCATATAGCTGCAGACATATGATTGTAGACATATAGATGTAGACATGTGGCTGCAGGCATAAAGCTTTGGCCCATTACTGCCAGCCTGCACGAAACTGAAACACAACTTCACACAATTTTTGTTTACCTCCCCTATCTTCCTCACGTTACAACAAATATTTGTAGATCTATTTTTTTGGTCGTCATCTGATCCAATTATATAGATCAAAAGCGAACAATTCTTTCACTTCTGCTTTCGTTTATCTAACAAATTGAGCTAACAAAAGACATGGGCTGCTGGATTTTAAAGTATACTATTGACAACAACATGATATACAATTTGCATAACGTTTTTAGATATTACACAATCAGCAGATTTTTTAAATAATACTCAACCTGCTTATAAACTTAAGATTTGAGTATGTCGTTTATGTAGTTTTGAATATATAATTAAAAGTTTCACAATTTAAATATCTGAAGTATAGATTTTTAAGTATAGATTTATGTACGAAAAGATTCAAGCATTTTAATGTAAAGGTTTTGCGTGTATGGATGTTTAAAAATAAACCGGGAGTGATCTCCCTTAAACTTTCTCGAATATTCTTATATAATACACTACGGGGGATGGCAACTCGGAATATAGACAATATATTTAATCCATTTTTTATTACTTAAACTTTTTATTATAGAATAGAATCTCGTAGAAAAAAGAATTGCACACCAAGTGAACGCCAAACAAAATGTGTATAATAGTGTGGAATATTTTTAGTACTTTATAAATTCACCTTTTTTTTGAAAAACCGGAAATAGCGTAACTTACTACTTCCGGTTAACGGAAATTACTCAAAATTTGACAGAAGACAGAGAATTAGATCTTTTACTTACGTGTAAAATTATTTCATTTATCTATTTGAAATAGTACTCAAGTTATAGGCTTTTGAAAAATTAAAAGTAGAAAAAGTTCCACTTCCGGTTATTGGAATCGCTCAAAAGTTGATACAGGTCTACAAATTTGATAAAATACTTATATATGAAATTTCAACAACCTTGCTGTAACGGTACTCAAGTTGTCGTGTTTACAGACACACACACACATACACACACACACACAGACATTAGGACAAGATTGCAAAACTATGCTTTTCCGACTCAGGGAGGTGTAAAACGTCGAGATTTGTAAAAATCTCAAATTTTTTTTGCAGATTACAATACTTTCTCTATACTTCGTATATACGAGAAAGTAAAAATGGGTAAACTTTAAAAATTGTATCGACAAAGTTTTGAGTAGAAATTGCTATTAGTTTCCAGAATATCGATCACGGAGTTCTTGTAGAGCTAATCAATGTTTGTCTTACTAAAGTGAAACTTCAGGTCACAACTTAGGCTTGATGAAAATAAATAGAAATGTAGCTTTAAAAATAAATAAACAAACAATACTTCTATCAACTCACTCTCCGAAGGTAAAAAAATAAAATGATTCAAGTTTTTTTTTTGTTTAACATTTTTATTTTATTTCATAAATCATTTTATGACGTCATGATATTTACAGCACACAACAAATTATAGAAAATCATTGTAGCATTGCACATATTTTATAGCTAATTAAATACATGCACCGCATTACGTCATAAACCGGAAGTGTGATGGCCAACAAACACAATACTGAGATGTTATTTTTAGCAGCAAAAACATAAATAACACGGGGTATAGGGGTCATGTGACTATGATGTCATGACACACGTGACCAGAGCTTAACAGATCACATGACATGGCAAAGAGGAAGGGAAATGAGAAAATGTATTCAGATAGAAATTTGTGGTCGAGTGTACTTAAAAACATAAATTAAAGGGAAAGAAACCAAGTTCGATACAGCAACATGTCACGGAGTTATTTATATGGACACCGTTGGTCGTCAGGACATAAATGGTCGTCAGTAGAGGACATAAATGGTCGAATAGTAGAGGACATAAATGGTCGTCAGTAGAGGACATAAATGGTCGTCAGTAGAGGACACAAATGGTCGTCAGTAGAGGACATAAATGGTCGAATAGTAGAGGACATAAATGGTCGAATAGTAGAGGACATAAATGGTCGTCAGTAGAGGACATAAATGGTCGTCAGTAGAGGACATAAATGGTCGTCAGTAGAGGACATAAATGGTCGTCAGTAGAGGACATAAATGGTCGAATAGTAGAGGACATAAATGGTCGTCAGTAGAGGACATAAATGGTCGTCAGTAGAGGACATAAATGGTCGTCAGTAGAGGACATAAATGGTCGTCAGTAGAGGACATAAATGGTCGTCAGTAGAGGACATAAATGGTCGAATAGTAGAGGACATAAATGGTCGTCAGTAGAGGACATAAATGGTCGTCAGTAGAGGACATAAATGGTCGTCAGTAGAGGACATAAATGGTCGAATAGTAGAGGACATAAATGGTCGTCAGTAGAGGACATAAATGGTCGAATAGTAGAGGACATAAATGGTCGTCAGTAGAGGACATAAATGGTCGTCAGTAGAGGACATAAATGGTCGTCAGTAGAGGACATAAATGGTCGTCAGTAGAGGACATAAATGGTCGAATAGTAGAGGACATAAATGGTCGTCAGTAGAGGACATAAATGGTCGTCAGTAGAGGACATAAATGGTCGAATAGTAGAGGACATAAATGGTCGAATAGTAGAGGACATAAATGGTCGTCAGTAGAGGACATAAATGGTCGAATAGTAGAGGACAAAAATGGACGTCAGAAGAGGAAAAAAATGGTCGGACACAAATGGTCGTTAGTGGGGGACACGGTTGATTAAACAGCAGCCAGATCGTCTCCCCTGTGAGCGCCTCCTCATGTACATGTCAGCGGGGTGTCTCTACTGTATCTAATCCAGCGCACTTTATTTGTGCAGAGTTGCGTGCGTGCAGGGTATAGGCCAGTTGGGTAGGCGAGATATGAACTGGGGGTGGGGGTGTAATGGGAGGGGGGCATGCTTCACTATTTACATAATTACATCAAAGTAATAACCACAGGTACTGGTTTGACGTAGACTAGGACCACACACACACACACACACGTGCGCGCGCGCGCGTCGCGTCTCTTCACACTTTTCTTCACACCCTCCTCCACACATACACACCATTCCAACACCCTCCCATTCAAAGTCTTGAGAACAGTGTAGTTAGTCTAAGATTCACATTCTCTTAAATATATAATTCACATTCTCTTAAATATATAATTCACATCATCACTAATACATAGGCCCCATTCCACTTAAAACATAATTCATGTTCCATTCAATACATAACTCACATTTATCACCTTCACATTATCATGAGTAAAATATTCTCATTCCCTCAATGTAACCTACACTTCGTATTTCAACCCCAATTAATAGAAACACTCAATATATCATAAGTAGATTTTAACACTGAATATCATACCCATAATTATTTCAAAAATTGAAACAGTTATATAATTATACCATAAATTCAATTCATTAATTAACGTATGCATAAAATTATGAATCACCAGTCGTGTACTTGTACACACACAAAAAATGTTTTTAAAAATGCAACCAAAAATAAAATAGCATACACCCTCGTTGGAAATACTCCAAAAATAAAACCCATACATATTTTATTTTCTTCGTGAATAAAGAAATGACATTGTAATACTTGAATACGGCAGCCATTGAATAACAGACGAACTAGTAAGTAGGTCAACGGAAATCCCTGAGAAACACCCGTATGTTTGTGACGTCTGTTGATAGACTTGGTCGCAATCCTTAGCGGCAAACATGGTCCCAATTCTTCAAATGGCAAACAGGTCTTTATCGCGAGGTGAATGGGTTCACGTAACTGGGGTATAATGGTTTGGATTGAAATTTTATTTGGGGGGGGGGGGGGGGTGGACAGAGGCGTTGGCAGGGGGTGGGGTCTGAGGAGCTAACCATTACCCCTTATGTAAGGCTACCCCAAAAATAGCTTAAGTGTTATGCAGTGTTTCTTCCAGACTTTTTTCTCCGGGGGAGGCACTTGAAATTTTCGGGGGGCGGTAAACTTTCTTCGGGGGGGGGGGGGCGGACACTGTTAAAAGTATATATTTTCAATATAAATTATATAAATTTCATTTCGTTCGGGGGGGGGGGCGGTAAAAAAATTTCCGAAGAGATGCCTGGAAGAAACTCTGGTGTTATGGTAGCTTCAGAGATCGCTTACGGCTTTCTTTTGATTCTTGAATTTATAACATTTTGGAATGATATAAAACCACATTTTAACTTTCTGAAAATTGTGATGAAATAAGAATGAAAACAAATGTTGCCCCCCCCCCCCCCACCCCAGAACAACTACCTACCTACGCCACTGAGGGCAGTGATATGCAGTCTGACACTACGAGCCATTAAAGAATTATGTAGAGGGGACAAATCACGAGTTCATTTCTCAGATCGTTAAATGTAGATTTACATGAACATGACTGGTGGCAAAAGCTATGTACTTTTGACAGCTTATTTTAACCAGTGCTAAGTTACAATGTTGGTAAACAAGTTTTACATATTCATTCAAGAAGACTCTGAATAGAGCCACTGTCAAATTATGAAAATTGTGTTTGGTTACTGAGTCTATTTAGCTTACGCCTTGACTGTATTTTTTAAAAGTGCAAATACTAAACGAATATTTGGTTAGAAGATAATGGATGAGTTATATTAACCCTGTTGATAAGTTACCTTCTTTTGTCAAATAATTTCATTGTAAAAAAAAATCAAATATTATAGTAATAAAAATTGTTTTTGGTGATCTTTCATGGTACTAAGGTAATTTGAAGGATCTAAACACATGACTAAATGGGAGATAAAGCAATGCGTAAGTTGTAGAAGAAACTCGTGAGCACCTTGTCTAGTCTTCAAGAAGTTTGTCTTTGAGATTATGTGTATGTTATCACCGCCTCAACAAGCTATGCCTGTCTCAGTCTTTGAGATGTGTTTACTCACACATACAGTCATGATTGAGTTATTTATAGAACTATAGTTCTAGCGTCCGTAACGAATGCACCAAAAGTGCAACATGGTCATTGAACTGCACCGAAGCTCCATCTTAGATTTTCTGCACAGCAGTTGTCTAAGTTGGCAACAAAGTTGAGCTGAAATAAATATTACCACCGGATGTGTTTGTTCACATGAACTGATCTTGTCAGATATAGATTTCAATGCGTGAGTTTTTTAGTTGACCAGATTAAGGTTTAAAATTGATTGCAAAAACCCATGTATGATTATCCCCAGGATATTCAAGTCTACGATGCTACTTTCGTTTTCGTCACAACAAACTTCCGGCGTGTCTTTCTTTTTGTTTATTCCTAACTAGGTCCAGCATTTCCAGTTCGTCCGTAGCCAACAACTTACAGTCCTCGTTTTCTACTGTGAACGATTCCGACCACTGACTGTCCGGAACTCGCAGTTCCGATTCCCGGAAACGCTCGGGCTCGCTGGCCACGTTTTCGCAGAAACTGGCGACGTCTTTGAGGATGACTTTCAGCATCTCGACCTCCCCGGCGAAATCCGGTGGTTGGTTTTGAACCTCCTTGACCAGGAGAGCTTTGAAGTGGTCGTAGAGGGCGTGGTCCACGGGGGAGTAGAGCTTGTGGTTCTTGACGTCGTCCTCGTTGAACTTGACGTTCGTCTTCCACGGCAGGTGCAGCGTCTGCTCTCGCATCGCCTCCGTGCGGGTGTTGGCGCGCAGGTACAGGACGTCCTTGACCCTCCAGCGCAGCATCCGGCGCATGAGCACCAGCGACTCTTCGAACATGTCGACCACCATGACGAGGTCAAAGTTCTCCTCCGTGACCTTGACGAACTTCCGGACGAAATCCTCCCGGTGTTTGTCGTTTTCCAGGTTCCACATAGGGAACCCGAAATCCGCGGACATCCGGTTGTTGATGTACGTCACGCCGTAATCGTATTTCGGAACATCCGCGTATTTTAAAGGGTTTTCCAGGAATCCCCGGATAGGGTTTCTTGGATGGTCTAGAGCGATTTGAACTAAGAGCGGTCTCTTGTGCGTATTGAGATAATAGTTAAAGGCAGAGACGAATTGCTCGAAGGGTTCCCGAACGATCCCGATGTAGACGGTTCTGTCCGGAGATTTCAGATACTTGGAGATCTGCGCGCGGTTGTACACTAAGTGACTACACACAAGGTTGAACTTGAGGTCTTGTGGGTAGGGCAACAGCACTTCCGGTTTGATGATTGACCCCGTTTCGGTGATGATGTTTGAGTTTTTCGGCAGCATGACGTCAAGTTGTCGGGAGATGGCGAACCGCATGAAGATGTTGTAGACGGTGGTGCTGGCTGCTTTGTGCACCTTCAGGAACACAACGTCGTGAACTTCTGAACCGGCTTCCCGGCGTGTTCGTGCCGGCTTAAACCGTGGAGCTTCCGGCACGGGCGTTTGGGGATGCGCAATGGAATTATTGAATTTCCGCTGAACGTTTTCAATGTTTATATTTTTCGAACCAGGTTCGACCTCGGAGTTCGTGTTTTTGACGAACCCCATGTGTTTTTTAGCCTTGTCTTGCGACAGGCCACCGTCGTTGTTGTTGCTGTCGATGATGTTGTTGTTGCTGTTGACGTTGTTACGACCAGGATTTTCTGTCCTATCGACATGAACAACAATCGTCGTGATGTAGTTGCTAAAAAATTGTCTATTCTTCGTATTCCCTTCTTGTCTAAGGCTACGCCATAACCTTCCCGTAGTGTTTGCTTGCACAACAAAATTACGGAGTTTATTTCGTCTTTTTAAATTCATATTGTTCAGATTTCGATTTTTCGCACCGCTTCTTTTATTTCTAAAATAAATTCTATTTTTAACATCGCCCTCGTTTAAATTATTTTCATTCTTGGGGAAGTTCTCAGAACGAGGCTTCCCTTCTTTATCCGCAACGACGTCATCGTACCTCAAGTTGAACTCCGACCTCTGCGCATCGGCTGCCCGGTAATCAAAGTCCCCGGGTTGAAGGTCATTGACCTCATCGTGTTCCATCATCTGCAGGATGTTCCCGTCCTGGCCTATCTCCCGGGTCGGGCCCGTGGGGTCAGCGACTGACTCGACCACGTCCACCCACACGGGGAAAGGTGCCTCGTTCTTAACCTTGAGCAGGTAGGTTTTGGTGTGCTCGAAGGGGATGTAGGTGTCCCGGGTGTGGGGGAGGCTGGAGATCATGCCGAATGAGCAGATCATGAAGAGGACTAGCATGATGGGGAGCAGGACGGACCTGGGGAGAGAGATAGAAACACAACGTGTTAGATTTTAGGTCTGTGTTCGAAACCTACAGTACAATTAAATCTTATATTATGATCATTTTTGTTTTATTTTATGAGGTTCTTTAACAGTTTTTAATATTGAAAAACAAAATAAAATTATGTTAAATACACACACACACATATACAAGAAATTCTGTTAAATGCAAGTACACACAAGAATTTCTGTTAAGAATAAGAAAATGTTCAAATATTTTTTTCGACGAGAAGCAAATAAAGAAATGCCAATTAAATCTTACATTAGTCATTATGATAATTTTTATTTTATTTTGTGAGGTTCTTTAACAGTTTTTAATATTGAAAAATAATAAAATTCTTTTAAATGCAAGTAGGCCTACACACAAGAATTTCTGTTAAGAATAAGACAATGTTCAAAATTTTTTTTCAACGAAGACCAAAGAAAAAAATGCCATTGTGCTGGCCCAGTATAATCAAATTCCATTATTTTTAACTAAGCTTCATATTTTATTAAAAAAAATAATTTTAAAAAATAATTTTAAAAAAATAATTTTAAAAAAGATTGTCTTCTTTAGCTCTTTAGATGCTGTCTGTTTGACATAGTACACATTATGTCTATCTGATAGTAAAAAAAATGTGAAGTGTTATCGTGGATCTGTTTCTATCATTTTGACAAATGAAGGGGTGCTGGGTGCCAAAATTAAGCCTAGCACTCTATTTTCGGACAGTTTATCCAACGAATCGAACAAGTCCTTCTGGTTAGCAGTTAGGAGATCCACCACTTGATCAAGACGTTCCATTTGTTTGGTTTTACTGCTTGATATTTATTCGCAACCATACAATGTATTTTTTCAGAACATACTGGACACCAAATTTTATAAAAAATGTATTAATATTCACCTGTGCTTGTAGTGTAAGGTGACAAATATAACCTTAATTCGGAAAGCCCGAAAATTTACAAAAAGTCTTATTAAACTTTTTATAATGAATTTATTGAAGAGGTTTTTAATAAATTGTTTAAGGGATTTTCTTTTAACAAGTAAAAATAAAAACTGGATTTTAAAGGTTGATGAAGGTTTGTTTGTTTGTTTTTTTTTCTTAAAAAAAGATTATTTTTAAGGGGTAAATTTTTTTCTCGAAAAAAAAAAAGCTGTTGTCTCTACCGGCGTATTGATTCTCACAATGAGCCCAGTTATTTCCCCTAGGGTTGTATGCAAGCGAAAAGCCCGAGAAACCCACTTGTTCGTAATTCCCACAGCACAAAGAGCCCTCGGTGACGTCACATACAGGTGATCTCGGTACGGAGGTTTTGTGTGGGGGACCCGGGGATCTCTTACAGCTGTAGGCGGCGCTGTTCGTTGGGGGACGGGTGGGGGTGGGGTAGGGGGACATTATGCGCTTCATTCGGTTAATCTCGAGGACATTGAAGGATTTTTTTTTTCCAGATTATTCCTGGGCATAAAAATGACAGTTCGTTTTTAGAGTAAGGGTTTATGTTAGGCTTTTATTTAGCTCCGGTTAGGAAAAAGACGATTGTCCTGTTAGGGTTAGGCTAAGGGAAGGGTCTGCTTATGTTCTTGCTATCTAGGCCATAAGCTAGGGTTGGAAAAATGACGTTTGTATTGTTAGGGTTAGGGTTTGCGTTATGTTTTAGTTAGCTAGCGTTGGAAAAATGACGGTTGTTTTGCTAAGATTAAGTTCTATAACTATTGTTATGTCGTGGGTAAAGGGAGATTTTGTCTCAAGGTTAGGATCAGGGTTAGATTTTATATCTGACAACTTTACATTGGTGAAAGGGGGTGTAGATTAAGTAGAGTACTTGTATTTCTATAAGTGCTACCTGTATGTAGATTGTAAACATGAAACAGCTTTCATCCCCGCCCCGGGTACACACATATTCCCTTACACCCCCCCCTGCCCCTCAACACCATCGTCAGCCAGTGGCGTAGGCAGGGGGGGGGGGGTTAGGGGGGGTCATACTAAATGTCAGTAGCGTAGCGAGGGGGGAGGGACATATGTCCCCGGGCTCCGACCTTAGGGGGCGCCAAAATGGGTTGGAAAAATAAATTGAAAGGTTGAGGGGGGTGCAAATCGAAAGTTTGAGGGGGGGGGTGCAAATCAAAAGTTTGTCCCCGGGTAAAAATTGGACCCCCCCCCCCCCCATTGAGACGATCCTGGCTAAGCCACTGTCGTGAGCTTCTGAGAGGAAGGCCAGAATTTAGCCGGAAAATTTAACCGGAAAACCGGCCTTGAGCTATTGACATTAGCAAACTTAATATTGTAAACATTTGAAAAAATATACAGCCGAACGATAATAAAATTGTATTTCAAACATTCCAAGACTGGATCGAATTCCCAGAAGTTCGATCCTTGATCTCTGATGATCTATGTCACCAATAGATCGAACGTTGACGTGTTGTCAACATAACGTTTGATACTGACGTCAGATTCTAGTTGGACACAATTTGAAATTTTTGATAAATGTGTCTCTAGGACCCCCGGAGAGATTTAATATAGGAGATAAGGAACCAAATGGAACAAAAGGATTTGCTAGAGGCGTCAGGGGTTTCAGGAGCTTGGCATGTCTTATCTTCGTCCGCAACTCCAGGGTATTCTTGACAGACAGATATATATATATATATATATATATATATATATATATATACATATATATATATATATACATATATATATATATATATACATATATATATATATATATATACATATATATATATATATACATATATATATATATACATATATATATACATATATATATATACATATACATATATATATATATATATATATATATATATATATATATATATATATATATATATATATATATATATATATATATATATATATAAAAGATCTTTTAAAATGGCCTCGGTTTATTTGACTAGGTGTAGATCATGTTGGATTAACAGCCGATTCCGTGACATAATTAATTAGTGCCAGTGGCTTAGGATTAATCTCAGATTTAGGGCTTATCTCTAGCCGTGACTGTTGTAGCTGGTGGTGTATCACGTGATTCCCGGTCCTTACTACGTGTGGAGGATCAGCGTAATGTATGACATACTAACCGCAGTTGTAGATAAGACAGGGTGGGGTGGGGGGTTGGGGGGGGTTGAAAGGTCACAATTCTCCAGGTGAAATTTTCTCGAAAAATCACCAGTTGTCTAGTTAAAGAAGGAATCCCTATCTTTGTATTGTGTTTGTCTATACTATAGGGCTTGGTATCTAGTTAAAGATAGGATAGCTAGCTCTGTATTTTCTATGTCTATATTGTAGGACTTGGTATCTAGTTAAAGATAGGATCGCAAGCTCTGTATTGGTATCTAGTTAAAGAAGGAATCTCTAAAGAATCCCTAGTTCTGTATTGTGTTTGTCTATAAAGTAGGGTTTGGTGTTGTCACATTACTTTAGGTACAGCGGTGGGTTCAATCATCGTTGGTTGTCTACTTACTGCTTTGTAGCAGCGTGTGACTCTTTAGTGACTAAATGTGACTCTTTAGTGACTGAATATGTTTTTAAGGACTAAATGTGACTTTTTAGTGACTAAATGTGACGCTTTTTTTTTAAAACAGCAACAGTGATTATATTAAAAGATTATACATACATTAGGTGACAATGCTGTCTCAATTATAAAAGGTGGACGAAATCAAATAGAGCTTATTGTGTAAATGCTTTAATGTCCCCGTGTATATCATAGTCATGTACAGATTGGATTGCTAACTTTTGGGCTACAACGTTAAGTTTGTCTTGTAGCCTATGTTTGTGGGACGGGGATAGATTATGTCTACTGGGGAGTTGGTGTACCGGTGTGAGGTGTATTTGATCTCCAGACCCGTGAATACGGCATACACACCCTGTCTAATTACGAGCACACACTGCACCACCAACCAGTCTACTGACAACCACACACTGCACCACCAACCAGTCTACTGACAACCACACACGACACCACCAACCAGTCTAAAGACAACCACACACGACACCACCAACCAGTCTAAAGACAACCACACACGACACCACCAACCAGTCTACTGACAACCACACACGACACCACCAACCAGTCTAAAGACAACCACACACGATACCACCAACTAGTTTAATGACAACCACACACGACACCACCAACCAGTCTAATGACAACCACATACGGCACCACCAACCAGACTAATGACAACCACACGACACCACCAACCAGTCTAATGACAACCACACGGCACCACCAACCAGTCAAAGGACAACCACACGGCACCACCAACCAGTCTAATGACAACCACACGGCACCACCAACCAGTCTAATGACAACCACACGACACCACCAACCAGTCTAATGACAACCACACGGCACCACCAACCAGTCAAAGGACAACCACACGGCACCACCAACCAGTCTAATGACAACCACACGGCACCACCAACCAGACTAATGACAACCACACGGCACCACCAACCAGACTAATGACAACCACACGGCACCACCAACCAGACTAATGACAACCACACGACACCACCAACCAGTCTAATGACAACCACACGGCACCACCAACCAGTCAAAGGACAACCACACGGCACCACCAACCAGTCTAATGACAACCACACGGCACCACCAACCAGACTAATGACAACCACACGGCACCACCAACCAGACTAATGACAACCACACGGCACCACCAACCAGACTAATGACAACCACACGGCACCACCAACCAGACTAATGACAACCACACGGCACCACCAACTAGTCTAATGACAACCACACGGCACCACCAACCAGACTAATGACAACCACACGGCACCACCAACCAGACTAATGACAACCACACGGCACCACCAACTAGTCTAATGACAACCACACGGCACCACCAACCAGTCTAATGACAACCATACGCGGCACCACCAACTAGTCTAATGACAACCACACGGCACCACCAACCAGACTAATGACAACCACACGGCACCACCAACCAGACTAATGACAACCACACGGCACCACCAACTAGTCTAATGACAACCACACGGCACCACCAACCAGACTAATGACAACCACACGGCACCACCAACCAGACTAATGACAACCACACGGCACCACCAACTAGTCTAATGACAACCATACACGGCACCACCAACCAGACTAATGACAACCACATGCCACTACCAATCAATTTAATGACCACATACAGCACTACCCCCCAGTCTAATGACAACCACATGACATCACCAACCAGTCTAATGACAACCACACGGCACCACCAACCAGTCTACCGACAACCACATGACACCACCAACCAGTCTAAGGACAACCACATAGCACCAACGGTCTAAACCCGACTATTCAGTACGACCAAGAACGTTCAAACAATTAAGCCAAACAATCTAAGAAGCGCCACTAATTATGAACACAACACCACCAGTGCTGATTGGACCGTCAACCCCCGGACTAAACCATTCATCTGTCGAGTGCTTTTAGAGTTCAGGGGACGTAAAAACATACAGCGAGACCATAAGTATCGGACATTCATAAAACACAATGAACACTGGTTTATGTCTAAAACTACATCTATAAGGCGATCTCTATTGCTTTTATAAATGATAATCTCTTAATTCATATCGCTGTATCGTGATTATCAAGTTAAGTAATGTCGCATTCGTTTGCGTTTATTAGACTAACTCTATCAAAACACAAATAATATACAGTGAATTGTTCTATTTCCATCCACAAATTTGTAAAATAATATAATCGGCTTTTAAAATAATCACAATATATCAGGGTACAGTGTACTTTTATAGAGATAATTAATCACTTTAATTATAAGTAAAAAGCGTTGTCCTACCTTTTCCAGAAATTATTCGAAAAATATTTCCGCGGTGAACGTAATTTAGCCGCCATAGGCCGTATGTGTTTCTTTAGCCAGGGCATGTCGTAATGGATGTCACATACAGTCGCAAGTGCCGCTACATTTCCTATGACGGATTCCTCCACTGATATCTATTTTTATACCGTCCGGGTTTCAGGGGCGTGGCTTAAGTAGGTCGAGAAAATGGGTCACAATGACGAACCAACGTCTTGGAGAATTGTTTTTTTTTTTTTTTTTTTTTTTTTTTTTTTTTTTGTAATTAATATAATTTAAAGTTTCGTTAAAATCGTGTATTAGATTTGGATTAGATAAAATGAAGGTACGTGTAATTTATGAAGTTGTAGATCTAGGTACGTGCGCCGCCGTTGAAGTGAACGAAACATCCAGCCTAGTTGTTGTGTTGTATCAGAGGCGGGGTTTGTGACGTCGACACTGGTCTAAAGAAAAGTGCTTCTATAGACCACACACCACTGATTTTCTAGGCTGTTTATGGTCTATTTTTGGCAGGTTTTTTTTTTCTCATGAGAGACGCTATAAGAATGTGTCGTTGAATGGTGTAGGTGTGGGTTAGGGTGTGTGGGGTGTGGATGTACGGTAAGGGTGTGGGGTGTGGGTTAAGGTACATGCGGGTGTGTCTGGGTTAAGGGGTTTTGGTAGTAAGAATACGTGGGTATGGCTTTAGGTTAGGGTAGAGGGTGTGGGTTGGGGTAGAGGGGTGGGTTCGGGTAGGGTAGAGGGGTGGGTTAGGGTAGAGGGGTGGGTTAGGGTAAAGGGGTGGGTTAGGGTAGAGGGGTGGGTTAGGGTACAGGGGTGGGTTAGGGTACAGGGGGTGTGTTAGGGTAGAGGGGTTGGTTAGGGTAGAGGGATGGGTTAGGGTTAGGGGGTGGGTTAGGGTAGAGGGGGTGGGTTAGGGTAGAGGGGTGGGTTAGGGTAGAGGGGTGGGTTAGGGTAGAGGGGTGGGCTAAGGTAGAGGGGTGGGTTAGGGTAGAGGGGGTGGGTTAGGTTAGAGGGGTGGGTTAGGGTATAGGGTTGGGTTAGGTTAGAGGGGTGGGTTAGGGAACAGGGGGTGGGTTAGTGTAGAGGGGTGGGTTAGGGTACAGGGGTGGGTTAGGTTAGAGGGGTGGGTTAGGGAACAGGGGGTGGGTTAGTGTAGAGGGGTGGGCTAGGGTAGAGGGGTAGGTTAGTGTAGAGGGGTGGGCTAGGGTAGAGGGGTGGGTTAGGGTAGAGGGGTGGGTTAGGGTAGAGGGGTGGGTTAGTGTAGAGGGGTGGGTTAGGGTAGAGGGGTGGGTTAGGGTAGAGGGGTGGGTTAGGGTTAGGGTAAAGGGGTGGGTTAGGGTAGAGGGGGTGGGTTAGTGTAGAGGGGGTTAGGGTTAGGGTACATGGTGTGTTTGGGTGGGGTAAAGGGGGTGGGTGTGTGTTAGGGTAGAGGGGACTGGGTTAGAGAAAAAAATGTTTGTGTGGATTAGGGTGCAGGGGACGGGGATACGTGTTATGGTACGGGGTGTGGGTATGTATACTATGGTCGTGAATACGCCATTGACAACCTTTCGATTCAACTTGTTTGGATAAATAAACCTGTAGTTCTGCTCCGGTACGCCGTGGTTGCTAGACTGGTGATCGCTGGTGGGCGGGGGGGGGGGGGGGACAGGGGGACAAGAGAAAGCTATTGTACATAGATGTCTATGTGTTGGTTCAATTTGATTTGTGGCATGAACTGTTTAGTGATTTGTGGGTCAAGGGGCGAACAGTGTGGGCACTTGCTCAATGAACGTGAGGGGGGGTAGATTTTTTTAGGAGTGCGGGGTGGTAGTGAATTATTTTTTTAAATAGCGGCTTAGTTAGCGAGGGAGGGAGGGGGGATCATAACTAGATTTTGTCTCTTGGATGGAGGGGGGGGGAATCTGTAAATATTACATATGTTAAAGCTTAGTTTGACCATGTGATGAGTTTTTATAAGGTTTTATTTTTACATTCAGTGCTTGTAATTGTTTTTTATTTTGTTAGTTTCCAATGGTTTTGACTGGCAGTTTTTTCCATTTAGTTTTTATTGTCATTCGAGTATGTAGTTGAACTGACATATAAACAGGTAGGTTAACTGCCGTATACGCAGGTAGATTAACTGACGGATACGCAGGTAGATTAAATGACGTATATGTAGGTAGATTAACTTACGTATATACAGGTAGATTAACTGACGTATATGTAGGTAGATTAACTGACGTTTAAGTAGGTAGATTAACTGACGGATACGCAGGTAGATTAAATGACGTAAATGTAGGTAAACTAACTGACGTATATACAGGTAGATTAACTCACATATATGTAGGTAGATTAACTGATGTATACGCAGGAAGACTAACTGGCATATATACAGGTTGACTGATGTATATATATATATATATATATATATATATATATATATATATATATATATATATATATATGTATATAGATTAACTGAAGTGAATGTGGTTAAGCGTGTAAAATAAAGCCAGGTTAGAGTTGCCTAAGTATTAGTGAGGTTCAGATCGGCAGATCCACGGGGTAGATGTAGTAGAGTTTATCTGTTTCGATTTTCTCGGCACATTTTGTGTTTTTCGACACTAGACAGGTATTTACAATGCAAGGTAGACTATGTTCTAGAGACTAACTGAACTTAAAACATTCGGGCTAGCAATTACGTGCTCTACCGCTCAACCATACCGTCTCAGTTGGTTGATGTTGTTTGGAAAATACTGGTGTTGTGTTAGGGTTTGGTTAGGGCTAGGGCTAGGGCTAGGGCTAGGGCTAGGGCTAGGGCTAGGGCTAGGGCTAGGGCTAGGGCTAGGGCTAGGGCTAGGGCTAGGGCTAGGGCTAGGGCTAGGGCTAGGGCTAGGTCTAGGGCCAGGGCCAGGGCCGGGGCTAGGGCTAGGGCTGGGGCTGGGGCTTGCCTGAATGTAACATACTTAATTGTTTGACGTCCCCGAGAAGTAAAGAGCTGCTGCTACACCTGTCCATCAGACTCTGTTTAGTGCAGCTCTCTTTAGTAGAGTCCACGTAAACCCAGCAGCCCTTGCTTCTCCTTCCACTGTCCTCCAGGATTATTTAGTCGGCCTTCTTTTCTTTTACACTGGGAGTTCAAGCCAAATGATTGCCTCGCAATAGCAACTGAAATTCGTTATCAATATTTTCCAACAACTATCACAACATTGTTTTCAGCTTGTACACAAACAAAACGGAGATTATCTATGACAATACAATCAGGAGGCAAGGCTATACAAACATGGAAGAAGTGATAAAATCACGATTTGCAGACATTTGAATTCATTTGAAATTATATTTCAGGGTGTGTATATCGCAAATCTAGCAGAGAGAATGTGCATCCACATTTGTCACCAAACTAGCAGATGACAGTATGTTTCTCTAATACAGGAAGTAGAAATGTGCGTTCCCTTGTGCACACCTATCTAGCGGCCCAAATGTGCGATGAGCTAATGTATCATTAATCTAAATTAAGATAATGTGTATAAAGAGTAAAGCGTCCTTATCGAACAGATGACCCATAGGAGCAGGTAAAGTAGAGTTCACCTGAGTAAGTGCCCTCGGTATATGAAGGGATAGTATGGTCAGCACTATGCCCAGTCGCCTTTAGTTTCCCTAACATGAGTCGGGTCCCCATCAGAGCTGGGTGGACTTTGGGACGTCTTGGGACTTAAGTACATTGTGGGTTCTGATATATCACCAATCGAACAATCAGAAAGTGCGCCCTAATGTATCACATATCTAACCAGTAGTGTAGCGAGGGGGGGGTGCGGATCGCACCGGGTGACACCACTTAGGGGGGGGGGGTGACACCAAGGCAAAAAAATAGCAAAATATATAGAGAAAAATGATTTCCACTTAATTAAGTGATTAATTCGAGTGTTAAATAGTATTTTAAGAGGTGCACATCGAAAGTTTGAGGGGGGAGGGGTGCAAATCGAAAATTGAAAGTTTGTCCCTGGGAAGGGTTGCTACGCTTCTGTGGGGTGACACCATTAAGTGCCGCACCGGGTGGGTGACACCCGACCTCGCTACGCCACTGTATCTAAACATCAGAAAGTGTTTCTTAATGTACCACTAATCTAACCATCAGAAAGTGTTTTCGAATGTATCACCAATCTATTAGTGAATCGGATCACCAAGTTTCAATAAAGTAAAACCTAACAGTCTGACGCACGCACCTAGACGTGTGACTTGGTTAGACTTCAACTTGTCACCAAAACAAGGACACAACAAAATGTTTTGACGGACTGTTCCGTGTACCGGCAGACTTCCGCGCGATTCACGTTTTTTTTTAATAACTGCTACGCGGATTTCAAAGACGTTTGGACGCAACACGGTTCTCAAAGACATGACCGCTAGCCTGGTTCTCATGGACGTGATTGCTAGAAGGTTCTCAAATATGTTTGGGCGCTACACATTCTAAGAAATAAGTTAGAGACTCTAAATTAGAAACTTCATTCACAGAAACGACATTATATTCTTTGTATTTTCTTTCAAATGAGTTCGTAAACTTTGACGTTATTTTTCAAAATACAATACAAGACCAACACATAAAGAATAGAGAATTTGAACATAATACAACAACTTGAGTAGTATGGTTTATATACAAAAAATATCGCCTACAACTTTGTGACTCTAAGGTGATAATGTTTTCTATTTAAATATGTATTAAATACATTTTTAAAATAAATAAATATATTCCCCAGAACTAGACTGCTTTAACTCTTTTTTTCGAGATTTATGCAGTTATGTTCTAAATGTTTAAAGGTATTATGGTATTTTTTTTAATCTGCGGTTTAATTTTTGAAAAATTATTACACAACAATTCCATGTCACGAAACTGCTCCATGTAAGAATGCTAACAACAAACTTTCAAGACTTGTGAACATTTTTGAAAACTGGAGTAACAGTCTGGTTCTGGTAATAGATCAAAATAAACCGGGAGTGATCTCCCCAAAACTTTCTCGAATATTCTTATATAACTTGGTATATAGACATGATTTTTAGTTACTTAAACTTTAAAAAATAGAACAGAATCTCATAGAAAAAAGAATTATTAGTACTTCCGGTCAACGGAAATTACTCAAAATTTGAAAG